GGATGTGTGGAACCCTACGTGATCCCTTGGACGATGAATTGAAGGTCTTATGATGCACTTATTGCATGGATTAGCTTTCTGCGGCTCTGGTTTTTCAATGAATTTCGGTGATGGTTTGATTTTTTATTTTCTGTGGACTCTGCTTGTATATAGGAGCTAGCAGAGAAGATAATTTGAGGACTAGGAGGAGCTTTATCTCCTTCATATCTATTCGACATAGCCATGCAGTCTTTGAAATAAACTGTAGTTGTAAACTTTTGGGCATGTTTTGAATGGATTAGGAATTTTCATCAAATTAGAGACGCCCTTCTTCTTTTTCTATATGGCAATGTTTAGTGAGTAGGAGGGTAAGTAAGAAATGGGTATGGATCAACAAGCTCCACCCCCTTCTTCGCTAATCCATCAAATTCTGACTTTTAAGGTATTCGATTATGAACTTTAATTTGAAACTCACAGTTTTTTGTATTTTTTTTGTTACTAAACACAAAGGAAAACAGTAATTGGAATAATTCAAATACCATGTGTTTAGTCATAAAAGGTCAGGAATCAAAACAATTCATATATCTATATCGTTTAAGTAAACATGTCATTTATGTAACGTTGGGGAAGATATTTTAATTATCTATCATCTGGGAATATAACACTCGTGGGGACCAAGGTATGGTTTGTGGTTGAGATGATTTAAAAAAAAAAACTGGTAAGAAAAAATGGTAGGAGAGTTTTTGGTGTTTGGTAAACACCCCAAACCAGCTTTTTTTCAAAGTTTCAAATGAAAAAAAGCTAAAAAGTGGAAGTTGCAAAAAGCAACTTCAAAAAGTGGCTTATTTTCAAAGTTTCTCCTGATTCCTCACACTTTCAGGAGGAAGAACAACGACGCCATGTCCCCGCGACCCAGCTCCAATCCGTGACCAAGAATTGCAAATCGACGGCCCGATCATCCATTTCTTCATCGCCTTCTTTCTCCTCCCCTTCATTGCTTTCTCCGTCGCCATCTCTGCCTTTAGCTTTGTCATCAGAAATGGTGAATTTCTCAGCCTTGAACGTGAGGCTGGAGCGCACAATTTCAGAAACCCTAGTCCCGTAAGTTCCATTAAACCCTAATTTGGAGGTCGAGTAAGAGTAGGAGGAGAAAATGAGGATTGGGGTGATTCGATTGGGGCAGAAGAGGGAGCGAGCGTCGTCGTCATTGTCGGAGAAGAAATTGTCATCTAAGGTTCCGACACGGGTGAGGTGAAGAAATGGGCGGTGTTGTAACAACCCGTCCCGGGATTTTCGTAAGAAAATGGGTATTTTTGTATTTTCACTAAGTTTGGGGGATAGCTTTCTTTTAAAAATTGTTTTTGAGCCTTAATTGGTGAGCCCAAGGGGCCCACCCCCTGTTTTTGCCCGGCTCTTCCCTTTCCCTTTCTTTTTTTTCTTTTTTCTTCTTTTCCTTCTTTTGTTTTGTTTGTCTGCACCTTTTTCCTTTCTTTCGAACTCCCCCATTTCTCTCTTCTTCTTCCCCGTGAAAGACACACAGACACACACACACCCACAGCTACACCTACTCGAGGAAATCATCACCATCGTCGCCATTCAACTGTATATATATCTCTCTCTCTCCCTTGCTCACGGCGCCGGGAGGATACGAACACCTCCGGCGAGTTTTGTGATTTTTTCCGGTTGGGTAAGCCCTTTTTCTTCTTCTTTTCTTATGTTAGACTTTGCCTAGATGTGGTTTTTGAGTTGGGTTCTTGATTTCCAAGGTTTTGGAGTGTTTTTGGCACGAGTGAGTGCACACCCAAATTTCCGGCGAGCACCGTCCCTTTCGAGGCGATTTCTGGCCAAACCACGGCGAGTTGGCCGGCGTGTGAGGTATCAATCTCTTCGTCTCGTTGAGTACTACAACTTTCATTTTTGAATCACTTGATTTCGTCGAGTATTAACAAAGTTATGGACGTTCAAAGTTTGTCTAAATTCCGGCCTTCTTCTCCGGCGTGAAACCCAGCCCAAGAAAACACCCAGGCCTTCAGGCCGTTTCCTTCCCCCACGGGCCTTAGGCCCGTTTGGTCTCTGGCCTAAAACCCTAAACCTTTTCCTTTTTATTTTTATTTTGTTTCATTTTAAAAACCCAAAGGCCTTAGGGCCTTGGGTTGCAGCCCAAAAACCATTTCCCTTTTTCATATTTAAGGCCTTAGGGCCTGTTAGCCCAAAACCCTAACCCAAAAATCTAAACCCAAAACCCTAAAGCCCAAACCCGTGACCCGTGACCCATTGACCCGGACCTGACCCGTTGACCGTTGACCCGGTCAACGGTCAGCGTTGACTTCGACCGGTCAACGTTGACTTTGACCTCGGGTTGACTTTTTCGGTTTTCGTGCGGGACCCCTTCTAGGCTAATTTCGACGTTCTGAACCCGTTTCCGATGTCCGTTTTCTCAAATTCAATCGTTTGAGTAGAGTTTGACTAAATGTACCATTTATGTGCTTAGGGGCAATTATATGTGGCGTTTCCTTCTTCGCTAGATGGTGTGGCTTTTCGACGGCGAAGTACTGTGAGTGGACCCCTTCTAAAAATGCATGTTTTGATAGTAGAAATGCATACATGAAAAGCATGATTTGATGATTATGTTTTATGAACGTTTTACGAGATAATATGCTTACTGAGGCTAGTTTGAATTATTACTATTTTTCCTATAACCCATGTTCTTGTAGAATATCTGATGGATAACGATATGATATTTAGAACATGTTTAGAACACCTCTTTATAGTATAGATGATGGATGACTTTATACTATGAAGTTGATTTTCAATATATGTATATTCACTGGTTTTGTACTTACCTAGTGGTCCTTTCCGCTACGGGACGTAGGGATAGATCCGGTCCGTCCCGGGCGACGGTTTGGTGTTGGCATAGGGCCTGGAGTGTGTTTTCCTCTGACTGTGTGCTCAGAGACGGGGAGCCGGCAAGGGGCCTGAAGTGCATTTTCCTCTGACTGTGTGCTCAGAGACGGGGAGCCGGCATGGGGCCTGGAGAGTTATATCGGACATTCACTAGTGTTTATTATTTATGCGATTTATGATTTGAGACATTGCACGACATGCTAGGTTTCGGAAAACCTATGTTTATCATTATATATATGTGTTTTCATAAAACCTGGGGGTTAGTATGTTGATAACTGTTTTATTATATATATATCAACTTGGTCCACTCATGTTTGTTTTGCGCCCCCTTCAGGACTTAGAATCGAGGCATACAATCCCGACGTTCAGGCACTTCCGCATCGGCATCTTCGAGTCCTCTCGGTGTAGGACCCACTCCTTCGTTTCATTCAATTTTATATTATTTTCTTTTAGTGTTCTAGATTAGTGGTGTGCTCTGAACACGGTCCTTATTTGCATATTCATTATTCTTTTATATTTATAAACCTTATTTATCCCTTGTTTTCAGCATTTGCACTCAATAAATGGCTTTCGTCACCCTCGGGTGTCGGCCAGCACGTGCCTATCCTGGTATTCGGGGAATATCGGGGTCGGGGCGTGTCAGGTGTTGACAGCGGAGAGAGATCGGAGAAGAGGACTCGGCTGGAGATCTGGGAGAGTGGTGGTTAGTATTACTGGCACTAGCGAGGTCAAGGCAAGAGATGAGGGATTTGAGAGAAGGGTCGCAGTCGACGAAGGATATGAGGAGGTGGGTCCCATTTTCGACGACCGTGAGGAAAGAGAAGATGAGGAGGGAGAAGAAGATGAAGGTGAAAAGGTTGCCAACAAACGACGTTGTGGCTTGTCATAGCACATCTAGTATTATACCTTTTTGGTCATTTCATACAGTCACAGTTGTTTTACATAAAAGTTTACCAAACACTATCATACTGCTTTTTTTTTTTTTTTTTTTTTTCCCAAAAGCACTTATACAAAAAGTTTACCAAACACTCTACTGCTTTATTTCACAACTGCTTATTCCTAGCTGGAGAAGTAACATAAAGGCATCACAAGGAAAAGTCTGCACCACCCTCTATTGATCTTGCAATTGTTTCCAAAGAAGCACTTAAGTCGCCTCCAAGTTTTATTTAGTCAGAGATTGTGCGCATAGAGTGCGCAACTTTTCATGTGAGGAAATTTGCGCTTAGTGAGCCAATTTTTATCTGCATTCATGTCGACAAATGTCAAAGCAATATGTCGATTGCTATCGACATAACCTGCCAAATGTTTCTAATAAATTCCTCAAAGGCATTTCATTAAACGTTTGAAGGGGACACAAAAGGTCCCATATTAAACATTCGGAGGGTCGATGAAGGACTTAGGACCTTCACATGCATTTTTCCGGCCTTCGAAAGGTTTCGGGACCACTGAATCTCTATGTGTATCCGCCGGTACATGAAAACCAGGCACATCACACAAAGTGCTTATTTCATGTTCACATAATTGAAAACTTGAACCTTATATATATCACATGCCTATCCACAATACTGAGAGGTGATTTCACTATTGTGCGAGATCCGGTTGAGTTTTGTTAGATGATATTAAATGGTGCTTCGAGATCAAAAATTAATTTGGAGTCGCGATGTCCTTTTCTGCAAAATTCAAATAAAAATATAGCGTTTTACTGTCTCACAATTAATTGGTGTTGAGAACTTTGATCTCTTACGTGATATTGTGGCACTAAAATATTCATTGGCTTCACTACGAGTCCCCCATCTCTTTGAATTTCTTGCAACATCTGTGATTATAATGTCATAGTTTCATATTTTGTTTGAAATTACTCTCGTATCGGCTCATATTCTTCATTTATTAAATTTTGTATTCGCCCTTTTATGAATGAAATATGACGAATTATCTTCTATAATAAATAATAAAAAAATATAAACGTCGATGAACTCAAATAGAAAGTGGCGGGTAAATAGAGAAACCGAAAAATAGAATAGGAGTAAATTAAAATGGCAAAATATAATCCTCATTCCATATTCATATAATTGAAAACATGAACCTAATACCACCTACCTACCCACAGTATTGACGCCTCTTGTTTTGCGAAACCACTCTCATGCTGAGAGCCCTCGTCCTCAGTTATAAATACTCAAGGGATACATGGCCACTGCATCCTCGCTAATCGCTGGTTAGGGTTTTGGCTAGATCAGCTTCCATATAAAAAGAAGAATGGTGAAGGTTTCCGAGTCTTCTGAATCCCAAGATGAAGGGGGCGGTGATGGTGCCCTTTCTACTAGTGAGCCTAAACTAGGGTTTTGTAACATCGTATTCATGATTTACTAGAGGTATATATGTTTCTATATATTAATACGTATCCTTTCTTTATTTTTCCCTTTTGCAGTATGTGTGTTTTGTGGATAAAGGTTTCGTCTTCTTGCTTGTTTTGCGGTGATAAATATTTTAGATGTTTCTGAAACCTGGCTACCCCTAGCTAATTCCTCTAATTTCTAGTTTGGTTTATTATTATTTTCATTTTACATTTTTTGAATTGTGATTTTAGATGCAAGAACATGTGTTACTTTAATATTCTCCCTCCGCGGTTTTAAGTTGTGAAGAGAATTTGGTGCTATACTGAAAATAATTTGCTTGAGCCAAGGAATACTTGAGTAATATGAGATCTGATTAATCAAACACACCACATTACCCTTTTCGTGTTAGTTCTATTAATATATGTGAACAGCAGTTTTCATGATTTTAATGTGTATGGATTTTTTCTCTTGCGCATAGTTAATATCAGTTTGTTTCTTATACAGTCTCTACATATTAGAAAAAAGCCTCATGAAATGGTGTGATCATCTCGTTGTATCCTAGTGCATCTTAGATGTAGTTGCCCATGATTAACAATATATGAGCACATCGAATTGATTTGTGCGTCTCAATGCAGCACTAATTAAGTAGTAAATACATGAGTATTGCTAGATTTTAATGTTGATAACATGGTACTGATGGAATTCATATCGTGTGTGCCTACTCCAGAAGTACTACCGTACGTAGCAGGAGGGACATTCTGAAAACAAGAAAGCAAAAACAAGTCGGGGGCAGTGTTAATATTAAAAGATTGGAAATGCCCTAAATGGCATCGGCGTTTGCATGATCCGTAGGAGCCTGCTGACCCTTCGAAATGAAACAAGACAGGTCCGGGTGGTTCAAAGTGAAGTCGATGCACTGATAACTTCTTCTCCGACGACTGAGCCTTGTTAGTTTCCTGTTGTGACTGCACGAAAGAAAGCTCAGGAATGTGGTCCAATATAATAGCTCCAGTGTATTCCAAGACGTTGCCGTTTCAATATGATTACACCAGGTTACACTACCAATGGACTGAAACCCTTGCTTGCATTTGAAGCTATGCTCCGTGCTCCAATGGCAAAAATCGTATCTTAAGAACACACTCATTAGGACCTGGAGAGGATCCATTCTTTCAGTGGATATGGAGGACAACACAATAATTGTCAGCCTTCATTTCAAGGGAAGTCTTGGATACTCAAACTATATATACAAAGTCAAGGAACCGGCCTCCATATGAAGTTGTTGAAACAAATTAACACCATTGTTTGTACAAGCACTTGAATCTGAGCAAAGACTGTACAGGCATACCTTGCTTATATGAAGTCCCTTTTTCTGATGTATATTCAAGCAAGCACAAAGGGGAAGATTCTACTGGTTAGAGTTGTAGTCCGAGGAATCCTTATGTATGGATGAGCTGTAGCTTGCTAGCTAGGGTTGTATAGAAATATGTGATTGTATATTTGTAATATAATAATTAACAAACGAAAGTGCCCCTCTCTCATTCTATTTATTTTGTTTAGTTTTTTTTAGCATAAATACAATATTCATTGATGAAGAAATTGAATACGTATAACATTAATCTTATCAGAGATTTCAACCCGGACCAAGAGAAAAAGAGTTTTTCGCACCAAAGAAAATTACTAAAAAGTGCTATCCTCAATGAGAAGATCAGAGATTACATTAGGGGTTCTTTAAACCAAAGTACTGGGTTATCAACAGTTAAACCCAACCTAGCTAGCCTGTGTGCCACCTTGTTTGTTGTTCAATTTTTATCTCAACGTTATAGAATAAAAATTCGACTTGAAACAGAGAGGAACCAATGCTCTACGTTAGATTTTACAGTTTATGGATCACCTTTATACAGAACAATCTAGTGCGCTTGCTGGTTGCCCGTGGCAAGTGTTTCCCTTTAAGCCTGTACTCTGTTAAAATCCAAATATAAGGATCTTCCACCGGAAGATTCTCGATGGCAGGGGGACGTTTCGCGGCTTGGGCCATAACGAAATATAAAATTCTGATCATATGCGGATTTGCCCATTAGCATGCCTAGTTCATCGGATGTGTGGAAGTTTATGATGTTACCACCACTAAATTCCCAATTTCTCTAAACCATTAAAAGGCAGACTCCAAGTCAATAATACTTTTCACTTAAGAAAGTCGGGGGAGGGAAAAAACGTCTATCGTACACAGTTTTACCTTTACTTTGCAAATAGGTTGTTTTCACAACTCGAACCAATGACATTTCGGTCACAAACGAACAACGTGCGACATTCTTTAAACCATTATTCATTAAAAATGTATATTTATATTTGTACACCATTTCTGCACACGTCTATTGATTTTTGTCATCTGATTCTTCCATGAGGCCAATTTTCTCCCAAAGACGGTAGAAATGTGAATTAATTTCAGAACACCCTTTTATGTCCCTTAGTTCTCCCGAGTTAGTCAATTCAAATGCTAACAAGGCGTGAGAAAATCACTTCCCTTAAAAGTACGAAAATGCACGAAATGCTGATGGCGAAGATCTCTGGCGTGTTTAAATGACGCTCATTTTCCATTAGAAATACAAAGCAGGGTTTTCCCTCGCTGCAGAATATACATATACATACAAAATGAAACATATAATTTATGTGAACACCACGCCCAAATCAGATCCATTCCATTTGGAATTTTGATACATCATTTGAATAACGTACCTTATTTCAGCTGCTCTCCATGTAATAACAAGTCACTACGCTAAACCCTTCTTTCTCCTAAACGTGTCGGCTCGGTCAGTGCTCATCCGAGACTTTTCGGGCTTCTTCGACTTTTTAGACTTCTCTAGTCGACTATCTAAACTGTTTCTAGAAACTTCTGGAAGATCAGAACCTGCGTCGCATGAATCTGAAGTACCGGTTTCAGATGGTTTGTTCTCGTTCTCAGAATCTAGTGTACTTGTTCTAGAACCATTTGTGGTCGATTTTGACTTGCCAAGGCTGTGTACAAATTTCTTTAGATGTTTGATAAATTCTGGGTAAAGCTCAAGATTGCCGTGCCCACCTCCACTGAGCCATAAGGGGTCGTACTTTTCCTTGCAAAGCACCCAAAGCTGCTTCCCATGGGACGAATCTACAACCTCGTCTGCTGTCCCCTGGGCATAGAACATTTTATTACTACTTTCCACGCAAAACAAACAACAGTTTGTGGTATGAGAAAAGATGGAAAGGGAATGTGAATGACTGGCGGTAACATAACCATTTAAAATGATGTGGCTACCCTCTCCTGATTCCAATGAGGTGACGATGACTAAAATCTCACCTAAAATGCAATTCCCAAACCACAATAAGTTTTTGCTAAACCAAATTCACTTATTTCATTCGTCCGATAGATGATGCATGAAGCATCCTTTTACGTCTTCTGTCCCTAACAGCAGGAGAAAGTGACCAAGTCTACCATAAACTTCGATAATATGTTGAAAACTCTACCATGCATTAATCTACAGACTTGTAATCTATTGAAAATTTACTATAAACTCCATGTGGTTACACTTCAAACTCTGTCTGCATTCAGACGTGTGTGTGTGCACAGAGAGAAGAGTAAGAACTGGAAGAGAGGAGATAAACTTACATGTATAACCAGGACAGGACAGTTCACCATTGAAATTTTGTCGATATTCTGAAAAAGAGAATATTTTTTGGTCAATCTGGAAAAATATATATAAGTCCCATTTGTAGGATGAAGCTAGCAGACAGTGTAAAATCACTGGTACAAAATTACCTTGTAAATATCAAACCAGTATGTCCGCTTGACAGGGTACAACACCCTCAGCCCAGACAAAATGGGACTGTGTAACACCACACCTCTCAAGGTTGGTAGACGTGATGCAAGATCAACAGTGGGACCACTACCAACAGACTGACCATATAATATTAGTTGGTCATCTTTGACCCCGTATTTCTCCTTGAGGCATTTATAAGCTGCATCAATGTCCGCATACGTATTACACTCCGTTGCCTGATTCAAGAGGAAAGGGTGACTGTTACTCATTAAGCATGAACTGCTATCAAACCTAACTGTTTAGACGCATTAACAAAATAATTTGGCAAGCATCTGACATCAATGAATGGTATGCAATACCCACATTTATCACTTGCGTATAATAACAAAAGGAAACAAACATATATTCAGATGCATCAAGCTACAGTCCATTTTTCTCTTGGAAAATCAACCACCAAAATACAAGGATACTAACATGCAAAAGAATCTCCAACCTTAGTTTCCTAGTCAAATTCCATCTTTGCACGATATATCTGCATTCACATTTTCCACACTCAAGTGCCCATTTAGCCATTAGTTCCCAGCCTAAGAAAAGTATAATGAATTTATTTGTTTTAAACAGTCGGATCAGAAGCTTAATATCTTGAACAAGAAATAAACAGAAACCATGATCTAACACCCTCCAATAAAAAAAGAAAAACAAATGAATCCAAAGATACACAGAGACAATTATACATTACACCATTTAAGTTGGATAAACCATATCTAACACTAAGATCTCGAAAACACATTAAGAAGCTAGCATCTTATGACAGCATAATTGAGACTAGGCTTCTAACCTTTCCAGTTGACTGTCCATAACCAGAGTAATCATACCTGCGAAATCCATGTAAACAAACACTATTAAATTAAGTCACCGATAGAGAACATATTATAATCAGTTAAAGAAAGGAGCCAATAAAAAAATGAGGGCCTACCAGTGCACAAGGATCTAATATGTGCTTGTATCTTTTGGTGATATTTCAAAATGTCTTGACTGAATGCTTGTTGGTTACTATAATTATTTAGAAAAGAATCTTGTTTTTGAGTTCTTTAATCTCAGTACCAAACATAATGTGTTTGATAATCTGATTGACCTGTGTACATAGTTGAACATCTTGTCATGTTCCTCTGTTTAAGTAAAATTCTTGAGACATTATCTGATTGGTATTTTTGTGTGAATCGTGGAAGATGACTCCCTTCACCAACGTTACTACATGTGAAGTGTTTCGTTAGTCTATTTTTATTTTCGCTTTGGTTGCTTGGTTATGGGTGTATATAAAACCCATTTTGTTTTTCATCCGGATGTTTAGTAAATAAAAGGAAACAGTATGCATTATTGTCTACTATTCCTGTCATTGTTTGCAAACTGCATGTAGAACTAGAAGTGCATGCACAATAGCATAAAATCGCTATTCACTAAAACCACATAATTTCAAATACATATTACTCTCCAAATGAGTCTACACTATTTGTGCTTGCAAGCACGCATACGGACTGCACGCAGCTGAACAAAATTCTAATATCTAACCATGCATAAGGTTTTAGTCTAGGCAAGATAAGATTATAACTTCACTGTTATAGTTTATCTTCAATTGCTCGCGTAAAAATTTTACTTTCGTAAGGGCAAATAATCAATTTAAAACCAACATGAGCTTTATGGTTACATTATTCACCTCCTATGCTACATTGTAGCAAATCCAGCTTTTCCTGTTGGGAATATAGAAACTTGACATGAACATAAAAATAACATATAAACACCAAAACCGCAAGTCTATGTCCGCGTGGAAGGGAAAATTTCACTTCTAACTAGCTCAAAAGATCATAATGTGCCACCAATTAGGCCCAATTTGCTTCGTGTGTTAAAGAAATATAACTATTTCGTTAAAGTTTTATACTTTTGCTTTCATTTTCCATTATTGTGGCATTGATTTGCAATTTTGCATTTCTTGGAATACTTGTAAAAGGAAATAATTGAGCTCAGCCAACCAATTTTGTAGCGATGCTTCCAAATTTTACAAGATTTACTTCATAATATATTTTCACATTTATAACTCTAAGCTGAAATAATTAGCAATAAATAAACTGAATTAACTAACAAACACTACCAAAAAAAACTTCAGCTTTGAAATCCCATAAGAATTATTACCAACCCATTTGAAAGTAATCAAATTCAAAAACCAAGAAACCAAAATCCACAATCATAAGCACGTGCTTACCCCATCAAATTAATCCGCAGGCGAGTACTCAATTCGACGAAGAGCTCAAACATCTGCCCCAAATCAGCAGCATTTCCATGGGAGTAAAGCATAGTTGCAGAGGCCTTGGGGTGCTTGACGTGTACGGCCACGATTTCATTCCCCCGGCGATTCCTGAGCTTCAGCACATCCACGTCGTCCCTCCTCGGTACCTCCGGAATGAGGAACCTCCCTTCACACGACTCGTCGGCGACGACTGTGTACGACGGCGGACTCGGCGGGAAAAAAGCGAACTTGGCTGCGATCGAAGAGGTCACTCCGCCCATCTTATCGTCCTTCTCATCACAGGCGCCAGTCAGCAACCGAAATATCAGAGGCCCCCAACGCACACCCTTGGATCGATCTCGCCTCAAACTGACATAGACGCAAGAGCGCGACAGAAGCACGTGATTGCTGACCAGTGGCGCCTCGTGGAGGTTGAAGGTGGTAGCGCGTGGGAAATTGGAGGGAGAGAGAACGCCTGAAAATTGACCGACGAAATCACATAGTCGTCTTTTAACGTGCTCGGAGTCTTCAGAATTTTATGGTTTTTCGGACGGCGACTTTATATGAATGTCTAGTCTGACAGAATGGGATAAGATAATGAGGCCTAAATGTGAAGGCCGAATCGTTGTTTATTGCTGTGTGGGGTCTACCGAGTGTTCGATGATTTGTATGGCTGACGTGGAGTTTGGTTCCGAGACGTGTCGTCGAGTGGAAGTGTCACGTGGTCAATTTTGATATGGTGGACGACAAGAATTTTTTCATGATGAGAATATGAGTGCTACACTGCATGTTTTTATATAAATGTTAAGAAATTATATTTTTTAAATTATTAATTTTTTAACACATATATTCTAACGTTAATATAATAACATATGATGTATCACTCTATATTTCAGTTACACTAAAAAAAAATCTCTCCTGGACGACATCAAAAGTATAGAGGGGGATCGCTGACTGCATGTGGTATGTCGTTATGTCAGTGGGATCTTTGGGCAAAATTGTAAATCACTCTAATTTACTCCAAGAGGATTTGTACTCGCTCGTAATCATTGTGAATACATAATACTAATTGTCACGTCTACTACTATTTACAAGCAAAGATTTTTTTTTTTAAATGAGATTTTTTATGAATTTTTTGTCAATTCATATGTTAATATTATAAAATATTATGTTAAAATATTAGATAAATTAATCTTTGCTTTAAAGAGACAAAGACCCTACCAAAATTTAATTGGATTACCCGCCAATTCGGTATTGCTGTTACCTTGCATATAAGTTGTTTTTGTTGTATTTGTAAAATAATTAGTTGTAAAGAAAAATAGTGAAGAGTTTGATAAATTATATTTTTTTGTACTATTATTGTTAAAAGGAATAAAGAGTTCGAAACTATTATAATAATTTAGAAGAAGAAAAGTTCTCAACCCGAAATCGAAACGTATGTGTTGAAAATCTAATGGTAAGAATCACAATACAAGGTTATGATGACAATGTCAAATGTGCGATCAAAACTATATGAAAGGAACATGAATCGATCTGAATTTTTTAATGTGTTGTATTGTTGTCAACGAACACTGGCTCAGTTCAGCCACATGAGCCTGACCTCTTGGGAAAAGGGCCATACGCAGCCCAATAATAGGTAAGGCCCAAATTTACGAAGTTTACTAGGCAAAGGTTGGGTCCTTTCAAATCTTAACAAGCCCAGTAGCTCCTCACCTTTGTTTCTTAATTTACAATTAAGGACATGATTCAAATGATTATCCTCTGCAATTTGTGTTCCAAATCATGATTAAGTTTGCAAGCATTTGAAGCACAACCGTGAAAAAATGCAGGCAAATTTGCCCACTAAAGATGTGTCGGGCCCAATAGTCTATGCACTTGATAATTGAACCTCTCTGAACATCAACGCATGCAAGCCGAAGGAGACGGTCTTTTAATTAAAAATTATTTACTCCCCTGATTTCTTCGTCCAAACCTTGTCCTTGCTTCTTCAATGTCCAACCCTACACACTATCGTTAGTAGAAAAAATAAACGGTTACGACTAAGTTGAGAAAATATATTTATATTTACTTGTCAATTCAATGGATATAAAGTCAAAATATTCAGTAGTCCAAACTAAGACTTGCCCCTCATTTAATTACAAAATAAATAAGAACATTGTTTTATCATGCAAGTTGTGAATTATCCTGGTAGTTAGAGTCTTACTCTTCAACCTATTACATCCAGCATTCAAACCCTCTTGTTGAGAATATTAATCCACATCGAAGAAAGAATGGACCTTGCACGTGCTCATAATCTTATAAATTTTTTTTTTTTGAATAAACGATATTATCAACACAAGGGGGAGAGAGATGAGCTTAACCTTACAATGGACTAGTAATAATGTAGTTCAAGTTCGCTTTTGGTGAAAATCAAACCTAACACCTGTCATTTACAAGTAAATAGGAATACATTAGATCGTAATACTAAGTGACTATAATATTATAATTTAGCTTTATGTGTAAAATGCATTCACCGTCACAGAGACTTAATAATGCATTGTCACTTGAAGAGAAATTCGACATAAAAATATATTGTTGGGCTGAACATCACTTAATAATAAACTCATTTTATATAAGTTATTCTCTTATAAAATAATTCAATTTTAAGTGCAAAAAAGACTTGGACGAATTGGCCTAAACCCTTTGAAATAAAAATATTATTACTCCACAAGAAAATTCCACAAACCCACCATGCTTTTAATGATAAGATCTTGACGTACATCTAAATCTAACTGATAAGATGCACAGATGACGCTAATATGCGCGGCACGTTCCGCGACCGGTTTCGCCACAAAGGCCAGGCCCGACGTATCGTGGTCGGTACACTTCTCGTTAACAGTAGCAACTCCCGGCGCACATTAGCCTTGGGCGGCGGCAAAATATGTCCGTTGCCACCAAACATTATAAATGAATCTAAATTTCTTATTTCGGAAAACAAATTTAATTTCTTATTTACTATTTATATAAATTAAAAAAATTTAAAAAAAAAACTAACATAATAAGATTACACTCCAGAGTACCAAAAATTCATATTTTCCAAAAAAAAAAAAAAAAAAAGGAATTATCCGTACATTCACAGAAAATCGAGTTACTCGGGGATGGTAACCAGAACAGGCCGCCAAGCTCGTTTCAGTAACCTATTTCGAAACGACGCCGTTATTGGCCGAAGCGATAAGCCTGCGCCTCGCTGAGTCGGAATCTCACCGGAACCATCACCACTTCCGGTTGCCGATAACAACCCTCGCCCTTCTACTTCGTCCCCAATTCCTCCACTCCTCCTATCCGAAATCCTATCTTCGAACGGCGGCGACGACACGAAGAGGTCCTTCAGCTTGCGCCGAACTCGAGCGACCTCCTTGCTCTTCTGCGGCGAATCACCGTCGCGATTGTCACCGTTAATGGGTGGAGATTCCGAGGAATTGGTTTGGCGAGGCAATCGGCGGCGATCCTGGCGGGTCAGGAACATTCTTAGCGTCTTGCGGCGGCGGAGGTGGATGACTGGGCTGGCCGATGGGCTCCGCGTTGGGCTTCCGGCGACGGCGCATTGAGTCGCTAAGAGCTTGAATTTCTGCAGTGTCGCCATGGGAAACGATCAGTCGGTGGTTTACAAAATTCACGATGGATGATTCAGAGGATAGAAATCATTGGGTGGTGGTGGAGTGGAGAGAAGGTGAGATCTGATCTGGGGAGTGGTGGGATTGCTTTATTCACTGTTTGGAGTGAGCAAATGGAGCTGAAAAATGCATTTTTATTTGTGTTTATTTATTTGTTTTTGGTGGAGAGAAGACGGTGGAATAAGGACAGGGATGAAGTGGAATGTGGGGTGCTGCTTTAAAAAAAACAAGTGAGTAAAACGGCTTTATGGATGCCTACTCTAACTTTTTCTTTAGACTTTACTTGGAAGTAAGTAAACATATAATTTTATATTCGTAAACGACGAGTTTAATGTCAAATATTATATTTAACCTACTGTGCAATAGCAATTAACATATATATCAAACACCTTAGTGTAAATTTGTCCATTTAATAAAAAAAATTGGCATTTTTGCACGTGGATGCATTTGTTTAAAAGGCCTTTTTTATTTACAGGCGCTACTTGTTCTTAAAGATTTTTTACAATGCTTCAATAAATGAGTAACAAAATGGCGCTAATGTTAAAGTATAGGACGTGTCTTTTACTAATTTCTCCACTAATATACGGTTTTTGGGGTTTTTTTTAGTTAACAAAGAGAGTTTTGTTGATTGATAGTTTGAATTAGTATTTTATTTTCTCTATTTTCTTACAAAAATGCCCTTGCGTATCATAAATCTATTTTTTAAAGCCAGTTATGACTTTTCAAGTTTGAGGGGCGTTCTAGTCCAATTGCTTTGTCAAATCCTTCACCAAACTCAGCCCGACTTTATAAAAGCTTTTTACTTGCTGGGGCTTGTTCGGTGTCTAGGAGTCCTATTGGCTGCAGGCCAGCTGTGCTTACACGTGGCACGCTGTGATGAAATATTTGGCTTCACGTTAGGTACGAGACGAGTGAAGTCAAGAAGAGAAGGGACGGGGAAATGCGGTTTGTTGTTATTTGATTGCCGGATGTGATGAAATTTGAATTTGATACTGTTTTCTTTGTAATTCGGTTATTGCCTAGTGGATGATGATGGAAATTGAAAGGAGAGTTCAACCCCAAATTTGAGTTTTGTTACTATATTTTAGTTTTGCTGTAATCTATGAGGTGTTTTTATCTTCCCCACTTTATTATATAAGTAGGAACTAATTTAGCTCCTTAACTGTTGAGGAGGAGTTCCTTCTCAATTTAGAGGGCGTAGTCAAAATATGATTTGATAGGATTTTGATAGACTTTAAAATCAGGATATAGTCAATTACAGTTTTAAAAGAGGATTTTAAAAGATTTAGAAATCATGGTGTAGTCAGAGTATGATTTAAGATGATTTTAAAGAATACATCCAAATCTAAGGATAGTCAATTAAGATTTTATGGAATACATCTAAATTCAGTTTAAATGAGAATGCAAAAGATTTGATAGGATTTGAATGGAAGAGGGATTTTGATGGATTTGAAGGTGGATGGTATATATACCAAACACTATCAAGAATCCTATGGGCTGCAGGTGAAGTGACTCACCCTAAACCATTTTTACAACCATTTTTAACAAGGTGAAGTGACTCACCCTAAACCCTAATCCCTTCTATTGGCAAAAGTTCTAATCTTTCCACAGAGGAGTCCCCACCAGTCTCATGCTCTCCTAGGCAAGTACTTCTGTTGCATGTGCCGTTTGGTGTGCAGTAGGTCATGAGGGCAGTTTAATCTCAATCAAAAGATTTTATTAAAAATGATCTAACAGCTCTGTATGTGATTTCTAATTTTTTCAAAATACTAAGAAATTCATAAAAGAAGCCCATACAAATTCATAGAAATCTATAATATAATTCATGTAAAGCTATCAAATTCCATATACAATTCTAGAATCTATTAGAATCCTTTGAAATCTACCACTTAAAAAGTACATTTAAATCCTTTGAAATCTAAATTGACTACACTCCCCTTACTTCGTGGGGTGGATTCACGAGATTTTGAATTTATGATCCGAACTGTTAATATTACAAATGATAAATTACACAAAATTACCTTAATTATAGATCGAACTAAAATCTCATACCTCATGCTTTTAAAATTACAATATCGTACTTCATCTTACAAATTTATTGCAATGTTCGATGTTAGACTTATCCGTTAAACAATCTCCTAATTTGTCTATTAACTATTGATTTGGCAAACAGAGAACCCACTATCTTGCCCAATTAAATTAAAAAATGAATTAAATATTAAAAAATTAAAAAATTTCTTCTAATTCTCTCTCTCCTTCTCCCAACCAATTAGACTTGGCATTTTCAACCCCACCTGTTAATCCAACCTGACCTGACCCGTTAAAATTAGTATTCAGGTGAGTGCTAAACGGGTCAGGTCATTAACGGGTCATTTTGGGTCAACCCGTGAAACCCGTTAACCACCCATTGACACGTGTTATTGAGGACTTTTGTGTAATTTCAAATTTTCACTCTTTCATTAATTTGTAGTTAGATATAGTGTCTAGTATTTGCAATACTGTATTGCTGCAAAATACGTTGGAAGGCCAATTTCCCAGCTGCCACCAGTTCAGCCTATTCATATTTCGTCTTTGAACTTATCAATGGCAAGTTTTGGGGGTTATGGAATGGTCAAAACTTCGCTTGATCTTGATGTTCTACCTAGGAGTGCTTCATCTTCCATGCCTAATTTACCTTACTAGCCTAATGGAATTTCGGACATGGATAAGTCCCTCATTATTGACATTGCTGCAAATGCCATGGAAGAGTTGCTTAGGCTTTTGCAGACCAATGAACCCTTGTAGATGAAGTCTTCTACTGATGAGAAGGATGTTCTTAATCTCGAAACCTACGAGAGGATTTTTCCGAAGGCTAATAGTCATTTGATTATTTTGGTTGCCTATCTTACTGCGATTGCTGCTTCTCCAAACCTTGGTCCTAGAGATGTTGATGATTGGCGAAACGGTTCTCTGCCTGAAAACGCCAAACCCTCAGATTATGAACGTATAAAATTGATAGAAAGTCGACTTCTACTATACAAAATGAGGCTGTATTTGAGTTGGATGAAATGTAAGAGAAAAATTAAAAAAAAAAATTGTTAAAGGATGAAATGGGTGAAACGAGTTGGGTTTAGGTGACCCGTTACCTTAACGGGTTAAGTTCGAATGACCCGTTAAATTAACGGGTTGGGTCAAACCCGACCTGTTTACAGGTCTAGGTGTGACAGTTGCAGTGTCTGATTAGCAGGTTATAGGGGTCGAGTTGCGTGGTGTAAGTACTGGGTTGATTAGAGTAATTGCAAACAAGTTTCAATTAGGCGTGCCTGACTCGGTCTTGGGCTCGAAGCTGGTCAAGTTCCACTCAGTGGCTCCAGGGAATAGCACAGATTGGTAGTAAACTTGTAAATGGGTCGAGTTTACTGGGTTTGGGTTGGGTTTGACCCGAACCGTTAATTTAACGGGTCATCCGAACCCAACCTGTTAAGGTAACGGGTCACCCAAACCCAACCTGTTAATTTAATAAGTCACCCGTTAACATTTTTTTTATTTTTTTTTAACATTTCATCCAAATCAAATACAACCCCATTTTGTATAGTAGAAGTTGACTTTTTATCAATTTTATACGTTCATAATCTGAGGGGTTGGCATTTTCAGGCAGAGAACCGTTTCGCCAATCATCAACATCTCTAGGACCAAGGTTTGGAGAAGCAGCAGCCGTAGTAAGATAGGCAACCAAAATAATCAAATGATCATTAGCCCTCGGAAAAATCCTCTCATAGGTTTCGAGATTAAGAACATCCCTCCTATCAATAGAAGACTTCATCCACAAGGGTTCATTGGTCTGCAAAAGCCTAAGCAACTCTTCCATGGCATTTGCAGCAATGTCACTCATGAGGGACTTATCCATGTCTGAAACCCCGTTAGGTTGGTAAGGTAAATTGGGCATGGAAGATGAAGCACTCCCAGGTAGAATATCAAGATCAAGCGAAGGTCTGGCCATCCCATGACCCCCAAAACTTGCCATTGATAAGTCCAAAGACGAAATATGAATAGGCTAAACTGGTGGGAGCTGGGAAATTAGCCTTCCAACGTATTTTGCAGCAATACAGTATTGCTAATACTAGAAATTATATCTAACTGCAAATGAATAAAAGAGTGAAAATTTAAAATTACACAAAAGTTCTCAGTAATGGGTGTTAACGGGTGGTTAATGGGTTTTGTGGGTTGACCCAAAATAACCCGTTAAATAACTGGTGATTAACGAGTTGACTCGTTAATGACCCGACCAGTTTAGCACTCATCCGAATACTAATTTTAATATGTCAGATTAATGGATAGGGTTGAAAATGCCAGGTCTAGTCACACCTACTCACTACCGAACCACTTGCATCCCCCCCCATCACCTGCCTAACCCATTGTCACTGCACCTGATATGTGCCGCCCATAACATGTACTGTCACCAGAACCCAGCCAATCCCAAACCACCATGATCCTCACCTGTTCATCACAAACCCGCGCTTACCTGATCACCTGTTGTCTACAATCTATAGCTGCTAATTGAACTTGCTGACGTTGCAAAAGCCGTACGTGCATGACTTGTTCCCGGGCTCTGAGCTGGTCGAGTTCCATTTGGTGGCTCTAGAGAAAAGCATAGATTGGTAGGGAAAGGGTGATGGCGAGAGAGAATTTGAATAAATTTTTTAATTCAGTTGGACAAGATAGCAGGTCATCTGCCTGCCAAGTCAGCAGTTAGCAGATAAATTAACAGAATTTTCTAATGAGGTATAACATAGCGACAATTTCGTAAGATGAGGTATGACATTGTAATGTTTATAATATGAGGTATGAGATTGTGATTTGACATAAGTAGTCAGACACGTGTTGGCCGACACCCAAAGGTGACGAAGCCATACTAACATGCATGAGAAGTGAAGAACATAAATAAAAGTTATAAATTTAAAAATAATGAATATGCAAATATATAACGTATTCAGAGCATACAACTAAACCGAGACACTAGAAAATGAACAATATAAAATTGAATGAACAAAGGAATGGGTCATATACCTAGAGGACTCAATGATGTCAATGCGGGAGTGCCTTAACACCGCGATTGTACGCCTCGATTCCAAGTCCTAAGGGGGTGCAAAACAAAACATGAGTAGACCAAGTCGATATATAAGTAGTACTAAAACAATTATTCAACAACGTACTAACACCCAAAGTTTATGAAAACTCAATAGCATAATATGTAATAGGTTTTCCAAAAACCCTAGCATGCCATAAAACCTTCAATAAAACATATATCATATATAGTGTGTTAAATAGTGGTATCAGTATCGCCCGAAGGCATATAGAACTCTTCATTTGCCCGAAGGCATATAGAACACTTCTTTCGCTCGAAGTCCTTCATTCGCATGTAGGATCCTACAGCACCCAACTGAAGCCATATATAAATATCAATCACACATAGGCTCCTACAGCACTTGACCGAAGCCATATATAGATATCATTTACTCGTAGGCATATAGTGACCACTAGATAAGCACAAAAATCATTGAACATAATTTTTCCAAAGTATATGTATGAATCTCAACGGAGCTCAATAGCTTAAACATCATATCATAAATTATGTTCATAGTATATAATCATAAATCATATATACTACAAAGAACATAAATTCGATAAAGCATGATATATCATAAAGTGTAACTCCAATTTACTCAAAAATGTTTCATAAAATGTAGTCATCAAATCATGCTTTTCATGTATGCATTTCTAATAGTAAAACATGCATTTTAGAAGGGGTCCACTTACAGATACTCCGTCGTTGAGTAGCCATGCGAACTAGGGAAGAAGTGAACACCATAAACAATTGCACCTAAGCACATAAAGCGACCAATTAATAAAATTATACTAAAAAGATTGAATTTGGGAAAACGGACATTGGAAACGAATTCAGGACGTCAAACTACCCATAGAGGGGTCCCGGACAAATTTCGTAAAAGTCAACAAAAATTTAACACAAAGAATATTCCAGATAATATTCCACGAATATTCCAGAGAGTATTCCCTGACGGAATATTCCATCCGAGTCGGGTCGGGTTGGTCAACGGATCGAATCTGGGTCAACGGGTTGGGCTTGGGTTAGTGGGCCAGTTATTATTTGGGTTTGGGCCAGGCTAAAAGGTTGGGCTTGGAGCTGGGTTTTGGGCTGGGTTCGAAATTTGTTTATGAATACGGGTCGAATCGATCCATTTCAAGCCGGGTTGGCCATTTTCAATAGAGAAGAATGCTGGAACATTCCCAACTCCAATCAACCCCAAAATTTGACCAACACAAGTCATGCGATATGTGGATTTAAAGCTACGGAGGAGGGGAAAAGAACTATACCAAAATTTGGTTCAGCCGTGGCTAGAGTTGGCTAGAAAACGGCTTGCAAGCCACGAGATTCCACGTCGGTATCTGGGGAAAATCCCTCTGAGTTGTTTTCAAGCTAAACCCTCACCTACAACTAGTATACATACTTTATAAATCAAGGCAAACAACCATTAAGACAGAGAAAGGGAACTTGAGGCTCACCCAATCAGAGGTTGATGCTCGCCGTATTTCACCAAGTTTTAGCATCGGTTTCCATGGTGCTACAACCCTAGTTTACAAAAGGAGAAGAGGAACGAGGGAGGTGAAGAGGTCCGAGGGTGAGAAGGGTGGTGTATGTGGGTGTGGTGCCTTGTGTGTGAAACTCGGGAAAGGAGAGGATGAGAGTGAGTTGTGAGAGGTTGAGGGAAGAGTGAGCTATTTTGAGAGAGAGTTAAAGTGAGAGAGAGAGAGAGAGAGAGAGAGAGAGAGAGAGGACCGGCAACTTAGAAAGAAGAGAGGGAAAGTGGAATTGAGCCGAGGATAAAATCAGAGGGTGGGCCCCCCATGAGCATACCAATTAAGACCAAAAGCAATCTCATTTCAAAATATCTAGCCCAAAGTGAAAATTTACGAAAATACCTTTCCGTTCCGTAAATTCCGGGACGAGTTGTTACAAATACCCTTTATAAATCATTCTATAGAGATAATATTTGCAAAAAATCAATAAAATATGAGATCATAGTCATCAAACAATAAAGAAATTTGGTTGGATTCCATCAAAGCATTATGAATCATCTATCTATTTGGTATTGTTAGTTGACTAAGCAAACTTAGTTTTAATTGATTTTTTGTAGAAATGATCTTTACCAAGTGATTGTTAATATAAATGGTTTTGATTATAAACATGAAATTATGTGAATCGAACGAAGAACTCTTCCTCAATCTTAAGGAGTCAAGCTCCTCTTATATATTTAGTATCCAGGGACACACATTTTGACACACATTTTTGTGTTGGTGCTTTAAGCCTCTGATGATTCTACTTCACAAAAAAAAAATCATGTAAGAGTATAAAAGATGGTGGAGGACTCATGCATGCATATAAAAATGAATATACATAGAGATAAAATTAAAGAAAAATAGTAGCTTGGAGAGCTATTGCCCTTGGGTCAAGGATGCGCCAAGGTAGGACTTGAAGTCTTGGTACAATATATACCATTTGCCACTTTGGTCTTGCTTTGGTGCACCACAGGCTTTAAGGGCACGATGGAAGTAGTTGCTTACTTCCTCCTGTTGTGAAGCCTCAAAATCCACCTCTCTTCCGATTTGTGTGATGTGATCTTCGAAGGTAAGTTCGACGTTCTCCTTGAATTGGTAGTCAGTCTCGTATTTGGATACGCATTTTCCATAACTTGTTCCCCTCTTTTGCTTTCGCGTGTCCTTCACTTGAGAATGGGAGGGCAAAACTGGTTAGCAGTGCAATAAACCCTCATTGTCTCCCTGTTCCAAGAGATAAAGAAACGTGTTCGGTGAAAATAAAATATCTTACTTATTTTTGAAGCAATGAATTTTTAAAAGATGGTTGCGGGTTGCTTTTAAAGTTGTTCTCATAAAAAATGGAGTTGAGCTTTTAATAAATTATTTTACTTCTTATAATACCCTCATTAATTTTTTAAAATGACATTTTGGACGAACAAAGCGACAGGCACAACCTAAGACTGTGAACACTAACCTTATATCACTGCCGCCATCACCACAACTATCATTGCCACGACCACCACAATCGCCATCACTACTGCTACCACATCCTATTGGCACCACCATCATACTCCCATCATTGCCACCGTCATTGCCACCATTGCCCATACCACAACTACCGTTGTCACTACCTCCACTACTATGTTTATTTTTGTCCTTATATATAACTATCGATGCGACATTAAAAGTTACCATACGCTTTTACACTATTTTTAATACTTACAAAACTTTTAGCAAATAGTTTACCAAACGCTCAAATCTTCAATTTAAAATATTTACACAAGTGGATACCACAAAATCTTATGTTATACTTAATGAAAGTATAAATAAACTCTAAGTGTTAGTCAATCTATCGTTTTACGAATTCTCCAAAACTAATTTCAACGATCCAAACCGTCAAAATTGTTTGTATATGCTTGGAGATCACATCAGCAAAAAATCACAAAAAAAAAACATTCAGCGATCAAGTAACGAGACAAAGCTTTTCAACGGTTATAAACGAAAAATCACGATTTAACGGTTATTTTAACTCCGATTTTGATGATTTTTTATAACTACACTCCTTGACCCTATATGAATACAATGAATGAATTCGATCTTCAATTTAAAATATTTTCACAAGTGGATACCACAAAATCTTATGTTATACTTAATAAAAGTATAAATAAACTCTAAGTGTTAGTCAATCTATCGTTTTACGAATTCTCCAAAACTAATTTCAACGATCCAAACCGTCAAAATTGTTTGTATATGCTTGGAGATCACATCAGCAAAAAATCACAAAAAAAAAAACATTCAGAGATCAAGTAACGGGACTAAGCTTTTCAACGGTTATAAACGAAAAATCACGATTTAACGGTTATTTTAACTCCGATTTTGATGATTTTTTATGACTACACTCCTTGACCCTATATGAATACAATGAATGAATTCGATCTTCAATTTAAAATATTTACACAAGTGGATACCACAAAATCTTATGTTATACTTAATGAAAGTATAAATAAACTCTAAATGTTAGTCAATCTATCGTTTTACGAATTCTCCAAAACTAATTTCAACGATCCAAACCGTCAAAATTGTTTGTATATGCTTGGAGATCACATCAGCAAAAAATCACAAAAAAAAAAAACATTCAGAGATCAAGTAATGGGACAAAGCTTTTTGACGGTTATAAACGAAAAATCACGATTTAACGGTTATTTTAACTCTGATTTTGATGAATTTTTACAGCTACACTCCTTGACCCTATATGAATACAAAGAATGAATTTGATCTTCAATTTAAAATATTTACACTAGTGGATGTGGATATCACAAAATCTTATGTTATAATTTATATACTTAATAAAAGTATGAATCAACTATAATATTAATAATTATATACATTAATTTAATAATTTTATATCCCTAAAAAGTAAAAACTATAATAATTATATAGATGTAGGTGTAAATTGAATACAATTTCATGATGATCGATGTAAATTGAAGATTTTATAAATGGAGGTGTAAACTTTTGAGAAAGACTTACAATCTTAAAAACAAAAACTCTTTATCCTTGCACATCTAATATTTGTAATATATTAGTAGTGTATGTATTATTTTTTTTATTAGGCTTTTATTTTCGAGTGTAGATATATTACTTGAACGAGAAATGTTTTAATGTTTTGAAGTAATATTTATGTGGCAATGTGTGGTATGTGCAAATTTTAAAAAAAAAATATTTTTTTCTTAACGGGTCATAATGGGTCATAACGGGTCGGGTCACTTTACCCGTTGGGTAAAGTGACACGACCTGTTAAGGACCCGTTAAGATAACGGGTGTGACACGACACGACCCGTTAAGATAACAGGTGTTACACGAAAACGACACGAACACGATAGACACGACCCGTTTGCCAGGCCTGCGTGTAAGCGAGGGGCAATCTCGTCTATTTGGGTGTTTACCGTCCACATGTAATATTCTCATTTGGTGATATTTTTTTGTTACCAAACTTGTGTTTACCGTCCACATGTAATATTCTCTCTCATTTGGTGATATTTTTTTTGTTACCATTAGTTACCAAACTTGCCTATATCTATTACACAATAAGATATGAATGTTCAATTATATGATTTTTTTTGTTGTTGAATTATTTATATATGAATTGAAAATAAATATTAGTTGATTGTGTACATAAATATGTAACATAATTGTATAGTACATTAAAATGACCCAAGTTAAAGCTCCAAAACAAACCGCAGCCGAAAATACCGTACAGTTCAAGTTCATCTATGTAGTACCGTGTAGTGAAGAAAGTACTGTACCGTGTCATCGTTATACCAAGTCAGTCCCCAATCCGGCAGTACCAATTTGTGTTGTGGCATCCTAGAGTTACAAGTTACCAAATCAATCCCACGATCTGGAGGATAGAAGCAGCTAGATTGCTCTCAACAGCATGACTTGGGTTAAATAGTTCTGTCCCATCTCTTAAAAACCTGTTGAGGTAATAAAAAGAGAAGAAACAGTTAAAACTGGATTTTGGGCCTTTTGGGAATGCCAAAATTATCATTTAATCTTACGTAACGAGAATTACTGAAAGAAAAAAATTCATTTTTAAAGCAGTGAATTACCAAAAAAACCATGTATTTTGTTTTTTGACAAATGATATTACACAAAATTTATCTAAACTATAGAGAGAAGATTCAAATTTGGATGCAGAAGATAGAACACACTGCTTCAGTCAACTTAACTAAACTTAGGTCCGTAAAGCTGATAAGCAAATAAGAACAAACACAAATTCCACTGACGGTTTCCTATGTTTATGTACAATGCCCGCCTAGCATGCACCAAATAGTGATGATGCTTCTCCAAAGTATCTTGTATCAACATCAAACGAAAACCAACCAATATGGAAAGACATTAAGTTTTAACATCTGCTTATGAGTGTATACAATACTTTTACCATCTAATTTAGAACTGAAGGCTGAAGCTCACTGAAAAAAACAGGAAGGAGGATATGGAAATCTCTACTGCTAAAAGGAACTAGGTGTGGTAGAGCCGCTAACCAATTTATCAGCTCCATTCGAGTCCGGTGAAAGCGGGGGTGGCATATTCCTCAATAGTCCAACCTCGTCTGATCGGATATCCAGCACCACTGCTTCGGCCGTTTTCTGAACCAAGATCTTCGTTTTGGACTGCTTTCAAACCCTCCAACACTTCGTCCATGGTTGGTCGCATATCCCTCTCCTGTTGCAAACACCGGAACGCCAATTCTGCCACAGCTGTTGTCATTCGCCTAACAGAGTAGTTTGTTTCATACCCGAGATGAGGATCCACCAGCTCATTCACTAAATGGTTTTGGATTTTGTTGACAGCCAGGTTGGCCAAATTTATGTCATGCCGGTGCCTGTTGGTGTCCACGGCTTGTAAAGACGATAAAAGCTCGATCAAGACCACCCCAAAGCTATATACGTCACTCTTGTCTGTGAGTTGATAGCACTGGTAATACTCAGGATCGACATAGCCAGGAGTCCCTGCGGAGCGGTTGACACATGGGTGACATCGTTGGGGAACAATCTCGACAGACCGAAATCAGCCACTTTCACGCAAAAGTCGTTGTCTATGAGAATATTGTTGGTCTTGACATCACGGTGTATAACATCATTGCGATGGAGGAAAGCCAGTGCATCAGCTGTCTCTATGGCGATGCTCAATCGAACAGGCCAACTAAGACAGCCGGATTCCACTCGTTTCCCATGGAGATGGTCAGCCACTGTCCCATTAGGAATATACTCATAAACAAGGAGGAGTTCCCGGCTGCGTCTTGAGGTGCATCCATACAGCTTGACAAGGTTCCGGTGTTCAAGACGAGTCAAGATCTCGACCTCGTTCATAAACTGCTCCACACGCTTGAAATTGTTTTCATAAAGGCGCTTCACTGCAACTACGCGGCCATCATGTAGCTTACCTGGACAAACAATTAAAAGAACATTTAACCAAACAAAACCAAGATTATCTGTATGTGAGCTAAATTGCTTGCAAAGATGGAAAAGGAAGTATTTTCGAACCATAGTAAACAGTGCCAAAGCCTCCATCTCCAAGCTCTTTAGCGGGGTTGAAATTTTCAGTGGCTTCCTCTAATTCATTATAGCTGAAGACCTGAACTCCAAAGTAAGTACTCCCCTTATTGTCGTAGTCAGACTTGGAGGTAAAAGAGGGATAAGACGGGATGCTCTGAAATTGCGAGAGATCAGTCGAGGGAGTAGGTAACATCCTTGCTAGTAAGGGGTGTAGGAAGCTCTTTGCTTTGAGTCTGTGCAGCAAGTTTCTTCTTCTTGCGTTGGATGAAATAATATACATAGAACCCTACGAAAACACCGAAAAGAATTGCACCTCCTACAGCAAGACCTGAAGATGAAACAAAATATTGTTTAGATTTTGATCTCCGTCCCATGATGCCAGTGGAAACATTACAATAAGTTGTTAATGAAGTGATATATTACCTATTTTGATATGCGGCTTATTTCCTGAAATAGCCAAACAGATTCAAAATGTTAATAGAAAGAACATCATCTTATCCAAACTTGAATTGGAAGTTAGGATTACATGCAGGAATTTAACAAACTGTTGATACAACTTGTGTCAATATTTGACTTCTAAAAATGAAAAGACAAGAAATTGGATCCAAGAACGATACCAAAACACACTCTAAAGGGTGATACCAAGTCAAGAAGGCTCCACGTTTTGCGAGGTAGGGAAAATACCAAAACAGAGTAAATTTTCAAATTGGGCACTCCAAGCACAACCTAAAACTTGCCCAAAACTACTAGAAGTAAACTCTACAATACCCAGAAAAAGAAATACCTGCTGGGTTACAGACTCGATTGCCGCAAATGCAAACGGGTCGGTTCTTATCCGAGTCAAACCCGCAAAGCCCATAGACATTGAGACACTTAGCGCACTGCTTCTCGTACGGGTTAGTATAATTGACATTGAAGCCGGTCATGATCGCCTCTCCAAACAGAGACCGGTTGGCGACCAGCATCGCCGCCGTGGTTTTGAGAATCCGCACCGTAATCCCAACGGAGCACTTGAACGCGCTCACGATAGGATCAAGCGGTACGGGCCCGATCACGTAATAAGCGTCGTCGAAAGTCAAGTTAAGGTCGCAGAAAAACCAATTCTTAGGTTTAGGAGTGATTAAGGTGGAATTACAGCCGTAGAAAATGGTGACGTCGATGTTGTCGTCCTCATCGTAGGTGAAGAACTCGGACTCGAGAGTCGAGTTCGCGAATTTGTTGGTGCAGGTCGAGTTCCAGAGGTCGGAGCGGGCGAGGGTGAGGTTCTGGTGAACCGGGTCGAGTTTGAGAACCCGGTAGCTCAGCGACGAGATGGTCAACTCGGGCGAGTCATCGACGCAGCTGAGGTGGAACTCTGGCGGGCCGCAGTAGGAGGGGCGGCTCCCTCCGGTGAAGGGGTAGGTGAGGTTCCGGAAGGGCCCGCAGTCGAAGGTTTGGGTGCAGTGGGAGAGGTCGGCATCGGCGGGGAATGACGTCGTAACGTCGACGGAGCAGAAGAAAGAGAAAAGGAAGAGGAGGAAGAGGAGTGGGAGCATTGAGGGAAGGGGGAGTGAAACGACAGCGGGGTGAACGAGGCGGGAAGTGATGAAATTTAATAAGAGCGGAGGTTTTGTGATGACGTGGTGGGCTGTGGTTTGTTGACTTGGGACTGTTGGACTTTTATATCGGGGTAGCGGATTGCACGCTGCTTTTGAATAGTTTTCGGGGCTGCTGGCAAAATTGTATTGTCTTCTAGGGTATTGTCTTCTAGGCTTTATGGATTTCCTTCTTTCAGTTGATGTTGGTATTACTACGATTCAATGGTGTTATTCATTGATTATATATGAGATGTATTATATTTGATTTTTGCAAAATTAAAATTGAATCATATTATTATAATAAACTCATTATAAGGTTTAGTCCATTCCTTACCATTTTAGTATAGATATTAAAAAAAAAAATTAATGTTGGTATGGTATGGAATTATATTTGTTCAATAATCGATGGGCATTTTGGTAATTTAGAAACTATTTTAGTGTTATTTGTCCTTTAAATTCTATAATTCTTGTTATGTATTTGTGAATTAGTATGACTCTTGGTTAACTATTAAAAGGTTTGAGTCAAGCAATGTGGATTAAAAGAATGTCATACAATCTTTAGACTTGATTTTCTAGGTAGAAGACTTCTACTATCTACGTATCTGCGATGAGATTTTCATACTTATTTTAATCGTGTGTTGTTTGTTTTTAGTTTTTAAATTGAATAGCAAGTGGTAGATTGCTCGGGTAGTTAGGATTTTTATATTCAACTTACTGTGTTTTATGTTGAAATTCTTCTTTTTTCTTTATTGTAGATTAGTGGAAAATATTGCTTATACTAAATTTTTTTTTTTTTGTCCTATCTCAATTTACTGTCTCAAAACTTCTTGGTTTTTAACATTTCATATATCAAGTTTTTTTTCATTTCAAAATTATGACTTTAGGTACTAGACTAGAACGAAAAAACTTAATTTATAAAATATTGAAAATTAAGAAATTTTTGGATAGTAAATTAAGTTAGTCCTAATTAAATGAAAAAATAATACTTAAACAAAGAGTATATCACTATATCTAAGTCAAAAGAGGTGTGCTGAAGATTTTTCCTAAAAGTGAAATCCTAAAAGTGAACGAGTGCGCACGTGAAGCCATGTTTGACTGACCAAGTATAGGTATTGTTAAATCATATTAGGTCATTAAATAAGAGAAATCTCCATCAAGAATTTGATTAAATGGAGCTACCTAGTTGGAAAAGAATCCGGAAGAGGATCCTTTTTCAAGATCCCGAGATCTTGTAATTATGTTCGTTGCAGTCAGAAATCATTTGAAATTTAAAATTTAAAAATAAATATAAATAGTACCCTACAAAGATTGACTGCACGATATACAATAAACGAACATGATTACACGATCTCCCGTGAAAATGATCCTGACCGGATTCTTTTCCTTAATAGTTTAATGCATTAAACATGTGGGATGATGTGATGCATGTGCTTTTTTCAACAAACATCAAAACATCGAAGAAATTTTCCCTGAACTGTACCTAGCTTAAGAAATTTGACCCAAAATAAAATTAAAAAAAGTTGTGCCTAAGAGACTTTTGGCAGAAGTGTTTGCAACTGAATTACACACAAAAGATCTTCAAATGCAAAGCAAGCAAATGTTCTTAAATTTTAATTTCAACGTTATAATTTGTTTAGACTTTCTTTTTTGGTCGATTTATTTAGACATCTAGTACGAGGAACTTGGCAGCTTTCTAAAATAATTTTTAGATGACAAGAAAAGAGAATTAACGGTGCGAATTATGTTGTTTGTATTAGGAGCCATTGTCAAATATCATCCTACTTTAAATCTAGAGAAATGCTAAAGAAACTCTCTTAAAAGTGAGATTCTTTATGAACTTTCTGCGACCTTCTAGTTTAACATAAATTCTCATACTAATATTAATAAAATATTTTGGCAAAAACATAAGGCAATAGAGAGTTCATGAAGAGTCTCACTTTTGAGAAAATCTCCTTATATTTCTCTTAAATCTATCCCTGACACATACCACACTAATAAAAAAAAAAAAGCACTAATATACCCTATCGAACCCCAAAAATAATAAAACACGAAAAAAAAACAAATACAAAAAATTTATGCAAATAGTATAATGCATTCTCTTGATTAATGGATGCAAAATATATCACATAATCACAATTCTTGTGTTAATATTGCTGAGAAACTAACAAGTTATCAAATACAAAAATAATTTTTTAATAGCAATATATCTCAACATTCTGCCAAGGTTATTTGCATTGGCCTAAAAATGCACCTACATATGACACACATGTGATATGAGTGAGTTGGTTTTGTTTTGGCATGGAAAATGGCCACCCTAAACGGAGATTGGAATCTAGAAGCATAATTTGGAAATGCTTTTATTAAGAAATCAGAAAAAAGAGGGCACCCACCCAACTTGAAGTTTCCCATCGAATGGCACATGGCTTTTGTCATGGTCATGGTAATGTGAAAGAAATGGATGGGATTGTGAGTGCCCACAATAAGAGTGAGAAAGTTATTTGGTAGTGAGCATGGTTATAGCACTAGTTTAAGATCAAAGGAATGGGAGCAACCACTTAATACTATAGTCTAGTTGTATTTTTCTTCACTAGTAAGTGAGATGTCTTAAGTTCGATTGTTACCAAAGACGAATTTGAACCGCATTATTGCTAGCCCATTATGAGGCTAAGCCCACCCTCTCCCCTTAGTATAGATAATATCATTTGTTCAAAAAAAAAAAAAAACACAAAGAATGCACAAGGAGAAAATGGTGTGCGGAAATTCCTTTCTTTCTAGAAAATAAGATAAAATTAAAAAAAGTAGTTTAAGAACAGAGAAGATGAGAAAATTTAGCAAAGCACAAAGTTAGATCACTAGTTTAGGAAAAGAAGAAAGTTAGAAACAGAGAATTGGCGCACGAGCACATAATGTGTGTTACATGCTTTTAAAGTCCGTCTCTTCTATCAATTCCGTATAGATTACTTCCACATTCCACCATATCCTTCCTCCGCCCTCTTTCATCTATCATTTCTCTCATGCATTTTCCTTAGTCTCTAACAAAAAACAAATGAATACGTGCTAAAGCCTAAAACAAATGGATATAAAACCATCCTAAAATGGTAATCAAACTTTCTTAGCTATCTAAGAAAATCCTGCACGACAATTTATGCACTCTATCAAATTCTAATTTCATATCCCTGCACTCTATTAACTTGTTAGAGTAGAATATGTACTTGTTCTAACAAATGCAGATGGTTCTCTAATTTGAGGCAGCGCATTGGTTGCTGAGGAAGCCTTGCCATAGTACAAAGTACTAAAATTGGAGGACAGAAACTAAAAAGGGGCGTCAATCTAACCCTTCAAACACCAGCGTATTGTCTAAGACCCAGATTGTTGAGCGCATCAATCCTAGTCAGGAATCTAAAGTTTATTGCGCATATTGCTAATTGGTTTTGGGTTAGACTGATAGTCTAATTCTGTCATAAACATAGTGGAAAGATGTTTAGGCGCATACCTTCACAGTTTGAGGGATTATGTCCATCCTTACAGAAGCAGGTGAATTCAGCTGAAGATATATTGTACCCGCACTGACCCCCTGATCCTTGACATTGGTCACACAAGGTATTACTTGCATCCCACTTCAACCCAAACCCGGAGTCAAGTGCAGCAACCAGATTATCCTTGGACGAATTCAACACCAGATTTGCAGCTGCGGATTGAGAAATGCTGGCAGTGACAGTCGTTTTGCAGTTACCACTAATATTCGGCAACTCTAAATTTGTGACGAAGTAATTATTGGAAGTGGCAGTACTGTTTATGCTGCAACTGAATTGACTTGTGGGCTGAATTGGAAGAGGAATGTCAAGCGGGGGACAGTTGTAGAACAGCAGTACTTCTTGAACATCCGATGTATTTTTGACACGGCTTGATTTTATGGTTGTATTGGCAAGTGACACAGGACAAAGGTTGTTCCAAAAGTCCGTTCTAGCAACCCGTAGAGTACTTGTAGATTGATTTATATCGAGGACTCGATAATCTTGGCCGTCAAATGAGATCACGGGAGCATCTCCGCTGCAGTTGAGCTTGAAATCGGGGTAGCCACAATAATCTGGCCGGCTTGATCCCCAAAAAGGGTAATGAACATCCCGAAAATTTACGCATTGGAACGATGTGCTACAGTTGAGGTATCGATCGTCATCCGCAGCCGAAGATTTTCGGACATGGAAAAGGCATATGGTAGTTGTGATCACAAGGAGTAAAGAGATGTTCTGGAAGGGATAGAGGTGTATTTCCATGGGGAGAGAGAGAGAGAGAGAGAGAGAGGGTACTATCCAAAGTCGTTGAAAAAAGGAGAAGATGAATGTGGAATCATCGTCATCTACAATGGACGACTGAGAAGATAAAAAAGGTCGGGGAACGTGACGAAGTAAACGTCAGGTTAAATCTTTACTTAAGTTTCTTGTCTTTAGCATTAAAAAATATAAGGTTCTATTTGGAACGTTAATTTAATTAGGAGTGCTTATAGTTAGTGGCTTTGGTGGCCAAGTCTGTAACTAATTTTATGGTCAAACTTTGCGTAGTGGCCTCGTCAGGAGATAGGTATTGGTTGTCGAACAGATCAGCCGCCTTAATAGAAAAATTGGGTTAATTTTGGATTTTTGTATACCTAATCCCTCTGCGCTTTGATTACAATCATCAAAAGTCAACAAAGGGCGACTCACGTTTTCGGGGGAGTTGTGTAGTTGTATGGTAGGTTAGGTGTATTTTTCGATGGAACTTGAGCGTTTAACTTATGTAAATAAACTTTTATTTAACCACTTGTAGTATATAAAACTAAAATTTAGAAGAAAAATTGTGGTGTGGGAAGAGCAACAAATTTGGTTAACTAGAATGGCAACAAGGGATCAAAATGAACAAAAACATGAACAATCGGTTTTAGGGTTGGCTCGAGCAACATTTGCGAGGAATATAAGGAGTTGTTTGGTATTCAATTCGAAATTAACTCATAATTTTCGAAAATGATTAAGGTCACCACATTATTTAGTAATAATTGGTTTCCAAAACCAAAAGAATTGAATCCAACATGGATACCAAACAAATCCATCACTTGTTTGCTGTTTTTGCAAACAATTGGCTCTACCTGTACTAGGTTCCTTCCCTCTGCTTGCATTCAATTTTCGACCTGGGTTTTCTAGTACACAAGCCTAATTAAGCACAGTTTACGACTAATCATCTTAAACAAAGACTTAGATAGCTAGCTAGGAGTTCCAAATGTGTAATTTACAAGAGAATGACAAAGGGACAAACGTACCTCCGCTTCCTCCTCCGCCTCCGCCTCCACCTCCGGGTTGAATTGAATTAGTAGTTTCATAACATATGGTTGCATACGCCTGATCTCGGCAAAAGCAGCTGAATCCGGAATTAGTAGTAGTGTTAAGCCCACACCGTCCTCCTGATTCCTCACATTTGTTGCATTGATCGGTGTTAATCTGCAATTCCAAAGGGAAGCCCCTGTTTACCGCATCGCTGACGGTTGTTTGACTGGCCACAATAGCCTCAGCAGCTGCTGTATAAACTGGAACAATAACCTCATCTGTACAGCTCACGTAAGATGGCTGATTAACCGTTGGAAATGGCACATAGAAAACAGTGCTCACTGTATTGCTTATGTTGCACTGCTTGCTAAGCCCTATGTTGTTGATATTGCATTGGTAGTAAAACGTCATGTTTGTATAACCAGAGCCATAATCAAACAGAGAGAAGTTGAGGGTGGTGTTGACGAAAGTCGGAGGACAGATAGTACTCCAGTAATCCAGCCTAGCAACTGTAACAGTCCGAGGAGTAGTAGTAGAATTCATTTCAAGAATTCTAAAGCTCAGACCTTTCATGTTGATCACAGGGACTTTGTTCAGACACTGGACCTCGTACCCTGGCTGACCACAGTAAGTAGCTCTGTTTACCCCATAAAAGGGGTAGGAGATGTTTCCGACGCCACCACAATTGATAGAGCTACCGCAGTTTGTGAATTGTGCATCATCCTGGCATAGACTTAACTTGACGTTGATCGAAAGGAAGGAAGCGATCAAAAGAAATGGAAACAACGATTGGAGCAGAAGGGAATGCATGATGGATGTTGGAGGAAAAAGCTCAGCAAAGAGACTGGAGCGTCAAAGGATATGGGGGAAGTAGTACAAGGAATAAGAGTCAGGTTTCTTGTTTTGTTTTAACATACGAGTTGCTTCTACTTCAAAGTTTTGAAATATAGGTCCTTTGACAGATTCAACGAAACAGTAGCCTCCCTCTCTTGTTTGTGCTATGTTTTTTTCTCTTTTTTTTTTTTTTTTTTTTTTTTTTTTTTCCTTTTTCATCATTCATATTGGACTTTCTTGCCCACCGGCAATCCGAAGAAGCCACGTACTAATTTAATATTATTTCCATCTAAAATGATTTAATTAGATGTCACTCTGTTTGTGTTGTTCATCCGTTAAGCTTGAAAATTTACTATATGTGAGAGAGCATGTTGAGAATAAATCTCACATTAATGAGAGAGATCTTACATGTGTTTATAAGAAGTTGGGCTATTCCCTATGTTCTAATTAATTTTATGATGAAACCTCAACTTTATTCATGGTATCATAACAGGTTGACCCACATGTGAAGTCAACTACCACATGCCCTCGAAGTCATCCCGTTTGTGTTGTACAAGCGTTAGACTTGAAAATTCGCTATATGTGAGGAAGTGTGCTGAGAATAAATGTCAATCCATCTGCGTTGTCCACGCGTATGTTGAGAAAAATTTCACATTAACGATAGGAGGAAACCTTGTATGTGCTCATAAGAAGTTAAATTACTTTCATATTACTAATTGATTTTATGATGAAACCTCAACTTCTTAAAAATTTATATATTGCTCCAGAAGCTATGCGCCGAAGTCAAAGGGATGCTGGAGCCAATGAAAAATAATAAAGATAAGATTCCTCAAATTGTTGGTTTGAGAGGGATACCAAACCCATAGAAAAAGACAGGGAATTATTCAAAATATTAAATTCATTCTCTGGTTCTCTTTCTTTTTTCTTTTTTTTTCTTCCACAAATGGGGCTACCTTGTTATATGTAAGTGGCACAAGTGAGCTTCATCACGCTGGCTAAAGGGTTTTGTTTAGGAACTTAGATATTGGCGTGAGTTGAGACTTCTCTATCTGCTGACTCAAGCTATGTTCGTAAGAAGTTACGTGCTTTGTTTCAGTACTATTGGCTTGAATCAGTTTTGGCAGGAATCTGATAGTAGAGCTTATACACACACACACACGCAAATAAAATATTCTACGCTAATATGCATTAAAGGGAAGGGAGATGGCTAGAACATAGGACACAGTGAGTTAAAAAAAATACCACAACCGCTAGAGTAATCAACCACTAATAAAACCCTTATTTGTATATTTGACTATGTATAATTAGATTTAAAAATTAAAAACGAAACAATTATCGAACGGTTCTTAAAACTCTTGAAATTTTTCAATAATTCCTATTATTATATATTGACAAAACAATTCACGATTAAGACTTGATCTTTCCAACTTGAACTAGCTTCATTATAATTTGAAAAGGGCAAGCCATCAAAATCGGACAAATTTAAGCCTTAATTTAACCACTAAAGTATATGCCCCCCTAATTGTTATGGAAGGTTAATATTAATTATCTGCCTAGCTATATTTTGGTCCGTCCATAATTTGCTTTTTGTTACAATAACGTGATCGTGTAAATCCTATCATATCTAAGATATCTATTAGACTATATATTATCTTATTAGAGTTATATTCTTATTTGGGATAAGAAATTTCTCTACTACTATAAATAAAGGCACAATAGGGTGAATAACACACCTCATAGTTATACATCTCTCTTTTTCTCTCACTGCTATTTCATTTGTTTTCAAATATCTTATTAGTTGATGGTCACATTGCTAACCATTTCTCTAACAGAAATTACTCCTTCCGCGTATGTGTGGGGCTAGTAACAGAGTAAATTATTCTTGAATTGACAAAGGACTGAAGTATTCCTAAAAAAATTATGCTGTCTCCTAAAAATTAGTACTTTCAACACTCGGTTGAGGGTACTGAACTCTCCTGGCAACTGTCCAAGGCTCCTACATCAGTTAGCTGTTCAAGCATTTCCTAACCATATTTGCTCCCATTCCCTCGATTTGGCATATGTTTAATGGAGTCACATAATCCATAGACAAAACAAAGTAATGCAGGTGGTTATTGTACTGATTAATGTTTACCTACTTCGAATAGAGGAAGTTCGGAATAGGAAGAGAAGATGAGGTAGGATCATCTACCTTTGCCTGATCAATGTAATTCTTGATTTTCAGGTATTGAATTGAGAACTGTAACGTGGAACTCACATGCTTTTTGATTCCACATGTGTTGGTAAATACGTACGGAAATCATTGAATCAAAATAAGTTCAATACCGATTCTATGCAAGTAATATGTAAGTTGAAAAACGATCGATCACAGTACCAAAAGAGAAAAAGTTGATGTATGGAACCCAAGTGCCTAAAGTTTTTAGCCTAATGGTATTTCCCTTCCCTCTAATGTCAGTGGTTATTAATTAGAAACAAATTTAGCTTAAAATGCAAAACTAAGCATAGCTAATTGGGTTCTTAGTTCATACCTTTAGCTGGTGGTGGCACTACTGCTGGATTGTCTATGGCCTCTGCTGTGGCGGCGGAACAAGTCCGGGACTCAGAAGTTTGATTTGCGCAATGACAAACAGTTTCATTCAAATTCCAATCATAGCCACAAACACCCTTTGAACTAACACACTCACCGCATTTTTCACTATCCACCTTATACTTCACCTCAAACCCTTCCCTCACTACAGCTTCAAGCGCCGTCGCGTTCTGTATATTGAAGATTTCGAAACCCGTTGCATCACTAATCGAACAACCACTTTTGACTTACAGATCGGAGGTCGCGGGACATCTGCAGGTATTGCGGCCACATCCTTATAAGCTTCATCATCGGGGCAGCTGAAATCTGCAACTTTTGAGCTAGAAGTACAATCATAGAGTAAAGTGACGTCCGAAGACCCGATAACATAGTCAAAAAGTTCGGAATTGAGTTTGGTATCCCCAAACTTCGGCGAACAAACTTTGTCACAGTAGTCATCTCTTACAATTTTGAGTGTCTGGTCACCTTGGTTAATCTTCAGCAATCTGTATTTGACCTCCATAATCTCAATGGCGGTAACATCGTTCGAGCATGTTAGCTTCAGTTCCGGATAGCCGCAACTCTCCGGCCTTTCATCTCCCCAAAAGGGAAATCCCACTTGTGTAATGTCTCCACAGTGAAACGCGTTACTACAATTTGTGTACGAATCGAAGCTTGAGGACAAAGGAAAGTTGATGAAAACAAAGAAGGCGAAATGGGATGAGAAGAAAAGCCAGGAATTCATATTTTGGGAAAGTGGAAGTATTTGGTAGAAATGAAATGAATTAAGTTGGTCGTGGTTGGAGTTGGAGTAGGAGTTGGAGTGACACTAGGTAAAAGGAAGGAACTAGAGACAGAGGAAAGGAGCTAGTGACGTTATAGGACAAGCTTATTCAAAGAAAGGAAGTTAACCCAAAAGAATGAGAAAGGGTGGGACAAATTATGAGTACTTGACGTTTTGTTGACTATTTATCTTTCTATTTATTTATTTTTATTACTTGCAATATTTTAAATTAATTTAGTATTGAACTAGCCATCTAATCTAATTTTTAAACTCCAACTTTTATGCAAAGATTTTCAATTAGCCAGAAATACGGAGTTGTGCACTACAAGTCATTACATAATTTGAAGAAATTTTTTTTTCAAATGTCCCTTCAATTATATAATAATATGTGACGTATTACTTGTGTTTTGAACGCACTAAAAAAATACTAAAGAAAAATAATACCATAGCCTGGAGTCTTAATGCCTCATAAAATTTTGTTGACTTGATCAAAAGATTTTATTTTACGCAGATCTAGAATTTTCTTCTCCTCTGGCTCTACGGGTAATTTTTATTGTTTGGGGTTATTTGCTACAAGTCAAGCCAAATTAGTTTACGTATAAGCGCTTCCCAACAAGAAAAGACATATTTTAATGGCCTCAAAAACTAGATCGTACCCGTTCATCCACTCCCACCTACCTATCACCCACGGTCTCGAAGGCTCTCTGTAAGGGTTGTTTATTTTTACTTAAGTAGTAGTTGAAAAAGGGCCTAACAACCATAGTTTAGACAACCATGCTGTTGCACTAACAACCATAGTTTATAGTTCAACCGTTGCTATATTAAAGCCTCGTTTGATATCTAAAATTAAATTGAAATAGATAGACTGCTAAATTAAGGTAAAAATTATGTTCGTCTAAAAACGTAGAAGATCAATTAATCATAAAGAAAACTTATGAGTTTCAATTTCTCGATAATGTAGGATTACAAGGGATGAATTTCCTTCATAGCTAATCCTCTCTAATTCCTTCCAAAATAAAAAAGTATAACTATAGTTTCATTTTTTTTTATTATCTGAGTAGAAATTGCATTCAAAAAATCCATCCACGATGGAAATATATATAGGTCCAGAAGGGTGCCTCAAAAACATAAAGGGCATTACAGATATGCCGCATAAGCAAGCAGGATTGGCCAACCTCCACCACTGTCAGGAGCATACATTTAGCGTCCTTCAATCAGTGTCATTGTAGCTTCATTTGTGAGGAAAGTATTCGAAGGCTGTGGTTGAGGATGAGAGACTGTGTTTTGGATAGTGAATAGAGGCTGCTTAGGTTGTGCACCACCAATTATAGTTGTGGAACCATTTAGCATAAAAACTACATCCGGCATGCTCGGCCTATCCATCGCATTGTCCTGTACACAAAGCAGCCCAATATGCACACATTTCATTACTTCTGAAGCTGAATATGAATCAGCCGCCAGCATTTCATCTACCAACTCCAATTCCCTGCCTTCCTTCCATAACTGCCATGCATAGGCTAGTAAGCCTAGCTGTCGATCATAGATATAGAAGGCGGTATTCTTCTTGCTGCTAATAATCTCCAATACCAAGACCCCAAAACTGTAGACATCAGATTTTTGAGAAAATATTCCACCCATGGCATACTCCGGAGACATATATCCACTGCGCGAACATGAAACTCATTAGTATATATGTAACTGAAATAAGTGTTTGGTTTCTTCCTTTTAAGAACAATGTTACCAAAAAATAAGTATGTAATGTGATCGATGCAACAAATTAGCAGTTTTAATCCAAACAGGAGGAGTCGGTTAAGATTTCTTGATGCAATGCTAACCATTAGAACTTTTGGTTGCGAATAACATGTTCAACAATATATAAAAAGGCATGAATCTTACCGCGTTCCCGCAACTCTCTGAGTATTTTCTAAATTCTGTGTCCCTTCAATTGAACGTGCCAATCCAAAATCTGAAATTTTTGGGTTCATTTTCTCATCCAAAAGAATGTTGCTCACTTTTAGATCTCTATGTATTACCTTCAAATACGAATCGTGATGGAGATAAACAAGCCCTTTGGCAACACCTTGAATAATATTAAAACGTGTACCCCAATCAAGCACTGCTCTTCTCGTCGAATCTGATCATCAAATAATCGATCAATACACCAATTAGAATCTAAAGATAAGAAATTGCAGTGAAGTGCAATTGAAACTAACCGAAAAGAAAAGTATCCAAGCTTTTGTTTGGCATGAACTCATAAATCAGTAACTTCTCATCCTCTTTAACGCAGCAACCCATGATTCTGACCAGATTTTTGTGTTGGAGATTGGAGATCAATAACATTTCATTCTTGAACTCCACTACACCTTGCCCTGAGGTACTGGATAGTCTTTTTACTGCTATTTCCTTCCCTTCTGCTAGCTTACCCTACACAAAGTCGACAAATAAATCATTGCATTCATGTCTGTCTCTCTGTAGCTATCATAAAAATAATAATAATTACCCAATAAACTGGACCAAAGCCTCCTTGCCCGAGTTTGTTTTCTATGCTGAAATTGTCCGTAGCAACTAATATGCTATCAAAATCATAGATCAGTAACTCAGACAGATCATGTTTTCCACCTATATATTCTTGAAGGGTGTCCCTTGTCATTTTGATGTGTTTCCTTGTTATTTTGATGTGTCCTGATTTTGCAAATATACACATCGAACACTGAATCAAAGCAAAACAACTTACAAAGTTTTGAGAGATAATCTGCATTATATTAATCCAACACCTATATCTCTTTCACTTAATTACCTTTTTGCTTAGCTCTCATCCTGCACAAACCGAACACTATGGCACCCAATACACCGATAAAACAAACAACCGTAAGGCTCACAATTAACTTTATTGGCTTTCCTTTACCTGTAAAATTTACAATACAAAAACAAGCATGAGATATATAGGAAAAGAAAAGTTACTGCTTGATAATTTGATTTGTCCAAGGCTTCAAGCACTTTTGAACAAAAAAAAAAAAAAAAAAAGGCATCAAGCACTAGTATCATTAGTTCATCTGCTAGTTCTGCGCATGCTAGGCGACTATAAACATCTACGCTGTCAGAACTCCTGCATGTGTTTGGACCAGACCAAACACCCTATTTTAAAAACAAGTGCATACGCTTTGTAAGAACAATTATTTAGGCGCACTGTCTTGCAGTCGGCGGATGTACTGTCAGAATCCAAAGATACAAACTCATGAGAATCTGGTACTTTGAACCCTACCAGCTTCAGAAACCCATCATCATCTTCTTTTCCTCTCAATG